TGCTAATTTTCTGCCTGGATGATCTGTCCATTAGTGAAAGTGGAGTGTTGAAGTTCCTATTATTATTGTATTGTTGTCTGTTTCTCTCTTCAGATCGGTTATTATGTGCTTAATATATGTAGCTGCTCTGATGTGGGGTGCATATATATTTATGATATACTTTCTTGATGGATTGACCCCTTTATTATATAATGACCTTTTTGTCTCTTGGTACTATTTTTGGTGTCATCCATTTTGTCCAATGGAAGTATAGTTACCCCCACTTTCTTTTGTGTATCATATTTTGTTTCTTCATTTAAACCAGTGGTGAGCATTGGGTTCTTTCCATTTTTTTGTCTATTGTGAATAATGCTGCCGTGAACATTCATGTAACAAATTATCTGCTGAAGTAGTGAGGATTTCATTCTTTATTACAAATCTGTCCGTTAAGCAGTGAGAAAGTTGCTTCATTGGAAAACCCCAACTCAGGATCTTGAATGGGGGGAAAAGTCTTCTAGTCATATTTTCTAAGAAACTGAAAATCTGCTTTGTTTTCTTGCACTGAGAAGTTATTTTAGATGTTCATACTATATTAGATCTTATCACCATCTAATATGTATTGCTTGTTTGTTTTAATCTACCTTCAACCCTTTCCACCCCCACCCCCTCCAGAATGTAAATTCCAGAAGGACATGGATTTGAGGAGCAGTTTTGTGTCCTGCTGTATCGCTGGTGCTTGGAACTGTGCATACTACACAGTGGGCAGTAAGATCTGTTGAATGCATGAATGAATGGTGCTTAAATGTTACCCAGCTTTATGTTTTCCTAGATAGCATTTTAAAAGGTTCTATATTTAGCTTCTTTTGAACATCTCAGTATTATTGGTTTTCCTGGGGTAGAGCATTCTAGTACAAAATGTCTGTGTTATAGACCTTATAAATGGTTGGAAACAAGGTACGAAAAATGATTATGTTGTATTGGGAAAGGAAAGAAGATAGAGATAGAGATAGACAAATTATATACATGGAATTTTGTCCCCCTCTAATTTGACTGTAGTGTCCTCAAAGTGATAACATGCAGAACATCAGAGACACTTGAACATTGATAACCCAGACTTCGGAAGGAATAATACAAAATCATTTAATCTTAACAGTGGAGGTTAAATGATCCAACTGTCATCAAAAACACAGAAACAAACTAAGTAAGTCATCTCTTTCTTAAATGAGAACACTCCATTGTTTTCCGTTCAATGCAACTATTTATTGATTTGTACTAGTCAGTCTAGGTACTGCCTTAGCAGAGTCTCAGGCTCTGTCTTTGAGATACAAATTAGAGTTTTTAAAAAAAGCAGGAACTTTGCAACATTACTGTAAAGTAGGGAACCTGGTCCTTTTTCTCTTGTTAAGCAAGGAAACTTGATTCTGAGAGGTAGGATGATGTCTGGAAGTATTTTTTAGCCTCTGTCTTTGTTGGAGTCATTTTCCTTGTCTTGGATTTTAGTAAGGATATAATCTCAGTTGCAGTTAGAAAAGGAGATCACAATGCCAGGTGTCAAATCCACATATCAATCCTCTCCTTAATTGCTGAAGTTTGACACGTCCCTATGTTTGTCTCAGAAAACTGAAAACGTTCTTTTATTAGCAATGGGGACTTAAATTTCCTATGTAGACAAATTAACTTCTAAATTATAAGAGAAACAAAAACACCACGAGAAGGTGGGGGGGGTCACTTCTTGCTTCCACTTAAAGCTTTCTTCAAGTAATTTCTCGTTCCCTTCTCCATATTTTCCATAGCTTGCTTGCTTTCCTTCCCTTCCTTTCTTCTCTTTTTTTCTTACTTTAGAACTCACTATCTAGTTAGTACCTTCTCTGAAGAGTAAATTTTTAGTCAGAAACGCTTAAAAAAATATCTTAGAATCCTAATTAAAGTGGAAGAGGTCAACCAGACTGTTGAAATAAAGAGTGTTTTTAAGCCATGTAGCTATTATGTTTGGGCAATTCTTGAAACAGGGAGGGTGGAAACTTCAGAAAGATTTAAAACTTTTTAAGTATTTTTTAAAAATAAAATGTGAATTGGTTTAGAATAATAAAGACTAACAGAATAAGGAAGGAAAAGAAAAGAATATATTTTGTGGATAAGCCAAATTCATGGCCTTGTGCACTAAATTTTATACTCTAAAACCTACCTGACGGGGCCTTACTCTTGTGATTGCAAACCCTGGTTTTTCAGCCCCACCCCCACCCCCAGGCTTGTCTCCAGTTATCTTAGAAGTGACAAAATAATCTCCAAGTAAGCTTAATTTTGATTAAAAAACACAGCCACATATCCATCTTTTTTTTTTTTTTTTGATGGAAAAGGGGATGAGGCAGAGAAGACCAAATTGTGAAGAAAGGTAAAGATTATTACAGCCCTCTAGGTCTTCAGCTGACAAGTGAAAACACCTTGCACATAATGCAGAGGAAAAACTGTCCATTTGACCTCATTTTCATTCACACTGTTCTTAACGCCCGGGAAAGACCAGATGTCTGGTTTCTAGAGTATTGGGCTTTTCCCTAGTAAAATTTATTTTTTGAAGTTTGGAGAAAAACTGCTGCTCCTTCTGACCTTAGTGTTTTATAGTTTAATAATTTCATATACTAAAAGTGTTCCAGCATAAAATGAGCTTTGAGTATTTATGCATTTGCAGTAATCCAAGAAAGGCTGTGCAAAGAAAATCTTGAAATGACCTTTATTTTGAAAATCTTGTTATTATAAAAACCCCAAAAAACAAATTCATCGTTTTCATGAATAAGAGGTACAATGTAGCATATGGTAAAGGCACTGCATTGGTGGGGTGGGGGACGGGAGGGTAGTATGAGTAGATGACCTTTCTTTTCCCTTGTTGATTCCTACTAAGAGCAATACAAAATATACATTAGATATGATATTTCTTTCCTCCTTACAGAAAACAATAGTTGGAAATTCCTATGTAAAGCTAATTTGCCATGAGGAATATAAAGCCCTTTAATGGGGTATCTAGGTCCCTATGGAAATTTTTTTTTAAACATACACCATGTGGTGCAATCTGTTACAGTCTACAAGGAGGGAAGGGGGGGAAGCTCTGTGGGGGCCAGGAATAAAGTCATCTGTGGGAGTTTTTGAGGTATTCACTAGTAATGGGGGAAATGGTACAGCTAAAGCCTAGAAGTGACATCGCTTCTGCCCTAAGTCGTAACCCAGAGTATATTAAATGTATGTTCTTTTTAGAAACTATTTAGCAAGTTAGACAAATTAGGGGAGAAAAAAACAACCTTTTCTGAGATGGTTAAATTGCTATTCATTTTGTATTTTAATCTAATCTACTGGTGATTTAATTTACAGAACTCAAAGGAAGTGTGCACTCAAATATTTGAGGATGTTAACGTATCAACCACTGTTTAATTTTGGAATGTGCCTACTTGCTTGACACAATATTTTACCATCTCAACAAATGTTTAGCCTTTTTTTCACTTGACTAAAGAGAAATAAGTTTCACATCGCTTCATTCACCTTCTTATGTGCATATGCTGGGAAAGATTGGATGTTAAAAAAAAAAAAACTTCCTCATGTTCCTTTCTACTACATCTAAATCTGTTTACCAATTCAAAGCTGCTAAAAAGCCCTGTATTCTCCTGCTAAATCAACTGGATGGCTAGAAACCAAACTGTGATGTAACAGGAAAAAAAAAATTATCAATTTATTTTCATGTCAGAACATTCTTGAGAAGGTATAAATTGTTCTGGTCTCTATGCCAGTTTTCTTTTTTCTTCCTTTCTGTCTTGTTTTTTTTTTTTTTTAAGGCTTTCAGCTTTTAAGCCGATACTTTTTATAGTTCTATAACAGTTCTAATATTTTGTGACATTTTGTATTGTGACACTATAGATGAAATTGTCATCGGACTGACACTCTGTGCGGTTTATTCTTTAATTACAACTGTTAACACTGTAGAGAAGTGCGCTAATCTGCCAGCGCATAATATGAAAACAACGTTATTGTTACCCACACCCACACCCACTCAACAGGGTATTTCCAAGATGGTAGTTTAAAGGAACTTATCAGCACAATGGACGTTTCAATATAGTTTTTTTAAATTTATTTTTAAATTTTTTTAAAAGATTTATTTGAGAGAGCAAGAATGAGAGAGAGACAGTACATGAGAGGGGGGAGGGTCAGAGGGAGAAGCAGGCTCCTCGCTGAGCAGGGAGCCCGATGCAGGACTCGATCCCGGGACTCCGGGATCATGACCTGAGCCGAAGGCAGTCGCTTAACCAACTGAGCCACCCAGGCGCCCTGTTTTTTTTTTTTTTTTTTTTTTAAAGCTTGTCCCTCTGTCTTCATGTAAAAATACACACCAGTTTGAAATTTTTAAACTCTTGAATTGTAATGAACATAGACTCCCCTTACTAGCAGGAGCTGCCTCTATAATCAGAAAAATTAAAAAAAAAAAAAAATCTTTTTGAGTGCTCCAGCAGTGGAGGACTGAGGAACTGCAAAGCTTTCTGACAGTTGTTTCAGAAATAATGAAAACAGGAGAGGGAAGGGCAAGTTTCAAGATGAAAAGATGAGAGGAGTTACTTGCATTCACAGGGTTGGTAGTCCTTAAATAACCAAGTCAAAATCCAATAACCATTCCCAGCTCTAATAGGTGACCTTTTTCAGGACTAAGTCTGAGCCCCTCTGAAACTGGCTACTTCTTGAATGCTTTGTAGTTTAGTTCTTTCCTCCAGAACCTTCAGAGGTTTGATTATCTATGTGGGACAAAATCCCATGAATCCATTGTCTAATAAATACTATACTGAAGCAGTTAAGGACCTCTATTTTTTCCATTTGTTAAAAGGGCCAACAGCCACTTGGATCCTGTGCTGAACCCGATCCCCATAAAAAAAAAAACCAAAACGATTCTAGAAAATGTAAAATCAGAACAACCAGTATTCACTGTTTAGATGAGAATGACAATAAATGATTTTTTTAAAAAAAAGACACAACACTTATTTAGCGACTTACTTAATAAACAGTCCACTTTTTAATATTAGCTCTTAACACTTCCATGGGATTGGCAGAAAGCAAATTCGTGACCCTGAAGTAATAGTAGGTCTCAAAGTGATAGAACCTGAGACTTGTCAGCCGATTCTCCTATCTTCATGTCATTGAGGAGGTAATGGGACAATATGAACGTATTCGATTCCTAAGGTACCCGAAATGACCCACATATTCTTTAATATTCAGCTGTACTAAACAGGTTTTTTTGAAAAGAGTGTGTGAAGAAGTTATCACTGCGCCTCATTCAGAACGGTATTTTCTGCTTCATTTTCATTTTCAACACTGATAGGATATGGTGCTCTTCCTAAAAGAAACTGTTCCCATTTGGGAATATATTCTTCTACTGATGCCCAGTAAAGAGTCTGGAAAAAAAACAACATCCAAAAGTAAAAAAGCATATCAAGCAATTGAACTTGGCTCTTCATAATAGTCTAAATGTTTATTCACTGAAGTGTGTGTGTGCGTGTACATACACACATATACGTAGAATGCACTTCCTCTACAGAATATTTTATGTTAATTTTAGAAAGAAATCTGGCTACTTACTAGTGTTAATTTTCAAATTTCTCAGTAAAACCAGAGCCTGGCAGAATTACAGGTTATGGGATTTTATTGTGATTTTACACGCCCTCTTGTGGCCAACCGTGTGATTATTACCGGTGGTATCATTTATGGCTACAATCATTAAATGTTTTTGTTTTTACTCTTCCAAATTCCATACCAAATGATTACCCATACTAAAATTATTACAATGAAATAATTAGACATGAACGACTGCTTTTTAACTGACATAAAAAGATTTCACCTGGGATGAGATGAGGAAATGAAACATAACCAGTATGTTATAGTACAGGATTCAGGTAAATTGACTCCTTAATTATATGGGGAAAAACACTTAAAATATGCATCCACTATATCTATTAGAAGAGTACTCGATATGGTAAAATGTCATTTCTTCCCAATTTTTTTTTTTTGGTATACGGAGAAAATAATACTAATATCATGTAACCATTTTTTAATTCCGGTAACTTGGAAGTTGAGACACTGTATTATTGGCCTGACACGAGCAAGTCTATAAGCTATAAAAGCTCAGGCAAGATCACCATATAATATCTACAAGCTTTGATGTTTTTTTGGGTGACTGCCCTAAGGAGGCCAAAGAAAAGTAAACTGCCAAAAGCTCTGTATCCTAGGAGGGCATTTTAGATCGGATCATCACTATCAATCTCATTTTGGGGAATTCAGCCAAAGAATTACATGGCATTAAGAGCACGTAAGGATTCACTTTGCACATTAACAAGGCACAGGAGTTCTGAAAGTTGAAATTGTGAGTTCTACGTATCTGCCCATCTGTGCATGTGGTCTGAGAAACAGCCTGACACACTTAAAACCGAGGTCATCCTGCTGTGCAAGACTAGCTGAGAAAAATACCAACCAAGGCCTGTGGTTGGGAGTTTCTCCGCCATTCACGGCTGGATTAACCCCTATTGTGTGGGCCCCGTATAGGCCAGAGTAAGGTATTGGAGAATTCAACAAAGAAAAAGACATGCCCAGGGCACAACTTTGTACCACAGTTCTTTCTATCCTTGATCACTGGCTTTCCTTATTACTCTAGATGACAGAATATTGAAGGGCAAATTCTCAGCCTTTAATTTTGAGTCTATTCAACATCCCTGCTTAGGCAGCAAGCAAAACTGTATTTGAAAAAGGTCATTAAGAATATAAAATTAAACTGTTCTATATGTAGTAAATTTTCTTTCATCACAGATATATTCATATACCAAATAGGGTTTATTTTTGCCAACAGTCTTCCCAATCTGTTCTTGAACTGAGCAAAATAAAACAGACAAAAGCCACACTATGCTGCATGATAATATGCATTTAAATAGCTTTGGTTGAAATTTGGTGAAGGGACTGAACTGCTAACATTAGCCAACAGGAAAAGCACTTTGGTTAGGCATGCTGTCATCTTAAGATTTAGTGCATACTGTCTAGTGTCCGTTAGGGTTTAACAGGATAGGTGTTTCTAGACGAAAAGATAGAGGATTTTATAAAATTTTCACTTGATAAATTTTTAAAAATCAAGATGCTTATCAATTACCTACTGTGTGAAAAGCACAGCACTGTGGACATGTAAGGATCAATCAGACGCATCTTATTTTACCGAATAAGTAAGTCTGGGAAATACACATAACCACAATTAATTTATAACGTACTACTAACAGAATGGGGTCTCTCCTATACATTTGTTCTTTAAGATTCTCACCTCAAGAGAAACCACCTCTGGTGATGGAATTGGGTGAATCCGGGTCTGTAGAGACTTTTCTGCTGCTTCTATATCCTATAATAGGTATCAGTGTTTTAGAAACAAAATGTATTTACGTAACACATACAAATGGCACCTGTAATAGCAATGTCTATATCCCAAATCTCAACTCTTCTCTGGATATACAGTCTGAACTGAAGGAAGGTCATTGAAATAGGAGGACTGATCATTACTTAATCAGTTTCAATAGAGAAAGCAGCATTTCTTGTTTTAAAATAAAAAGTGGGGGTGGGGTGTGTAGGACTTTCAAGATCTTCCTTTTCATTTAAAATAGTAAATGCTAATAATTCTGGCAAAAAGGACTTTCTTCCAAAACTGCTCAGGACACTAACTTAGCTCTAAGACCATTAAAAACAGCCAGATGGATAAAACGGTCAAATATTCAGATACTAAAAACAGTCAGATAGTCAGCCCCACACTGAGCTAACCTTACAAGTGAAGAGTTCTAGTCCAGATCATGCAAATGGTGTATTAGTGTCACACATTTCATCTGTTCAGTATTTTTTAATTTTATGCTTATGCAAATCCTCCACATACTCAAAGTCAGTGAGGTACCTCAGTACTTTGGGACAAGAACCTTTTCACTAGACTCTAGATTTTTGGGACTCAATTTCTGGGGCATTCTCGATGGCCAGCTTTATGGCTGGGTCGTACCTCATTCAGCTGATGACATTTAGGGCCTGTGCTTTAATCTGTAGTGTGACTTGTGGGTGTGTGCATTTTCTCTTACAGTTGTAGAAATGCAGGGGCAATTACACTTAATGCTTACCCGGGTAAAGATGTAACCTCGATATGTGGATGAAGTACAGGCCCAGAAATGTAGGACTCTCTAAGTTGTTAGTGAAACACTGGAGCTCTGTTTCATGCTCCCCAAATTGGCACCTATGTTGTCTAGTGCTTGCTTATGTTTGTCAAGTTCACAGAGGCCTTGGCTGGAGGCCGTGTAAATTTTGTCTCTCCTTTGAGCTCAGTGAGTTGATCAAAAAGAGAAAGTTCTCTGATCCATGTACAAGCATTGGAGCAATCTAAGTACAGGGCTGTTGGACAGACGGAGAGAGATGGAAAAGGACGTGGGAGTGGGGTGTGAAGAATCCAATGCTGAACAGGAGAAAAGAGCGAGCAGATGGCAGTGGCGGGAGCAAGGAATGGGTGTGAAATGTAAAAGGGAAAAACAGGAAATTCCCTAAAGGGACTCCCCAAAGTTGCACAACCATTAATGCACCTGCTGTCTTGAAGGTGATTTGAAGGGGAAAACCGTCAATTTAGGGATGAAAAGCCCATCTATTAGCAACGTCTATTCCCTACCAGAAGTTTACGGCCAAGACGCACGCTAAAGAGCTTTTGATGCCAATGCTACAACAGATAGTGAAGATTAACTCTTCTGTGATTGCACTGAGATTTTACAAGGTCCTGGGAAGATTATTTTTTGCTCTCATAAACCAAGCAAACAACAGACTCACGACTCCACTGACATCATTATAAGAATAGTGGTATGTTTATTGCTGGTGGTGGATCTAGGTACCACTAGCACCTGCAGACGAGATGATAAACACTTCTCTTAAAGACCAGAAAATAAGGCTATTGGCTCCCTCTCCCAGAAGAGCAGATTTGCAGTGGAAGAGTAGGTACGAGCAGGGAGCTGGGGCCTGGTAAAACAGGCCTGTGGTTAGTAACTTGACAGTCATCGCTACAGCCTGTCGGCAAGGGATTATCACCCCTCCAAGGGAACTTCTTTCGTAAGTGAGATTTTACTTTCTTCGATGTTTTGCTTACCTCTCTGACTCCTACTTCTCTCTCTCCTTAGCTGGCTCCTTTTTCTCTTCTTAATCCTAAGTGTGGGCTTTCTAAGATTTGTGACATCTGTCCTCCTCCTTTTACTTTTTCTCTTTCCAAGACTGTCTCTTATCTAGCTTCAGCTATTCATGTAGAGGAATGGGTAACTTTTCTTCCCGGCCCTTATTTCTCAACCTAATAAAACTAAACTGCCCGTATTCCTCCTGAGGGTTCTGAACGTACAATAGTCGGAGTTCTACTCCCCCAGACGCCTACGCCTGTATCTTCTACCTTCAGGTGTTCTTTCTCCCTAACACTTAAAGCTTCAAAAGGTCCGCAGACGATTCCCGCAGGACGTCTCCGCTAGCCTCTCCATGCCATTCTCAGTGCTGGGGTCTTAGTATCACACTCACTGGTTCAACAGATATGTACTTGGGCTGCATCTCATTTTACTTCCACCACATATGGAATTGATTAGTTTTTCTAAAATTACTACTTTAAATATGTCTTTACACAGATTAAAAAAAAATAGAGACCCACTACACAAAGTATGAATTCCTTAGCCTGACTGAAAAATCTCTGCCTTCTGTGGCGAGTTATATCCCATTACTTCCAATTAAGAACCTTCTGTTTGACTATATGCTGCCAGAAGGTACGGACTGTCTCATACAATCTTTAAGCATCCGAGAATCTAACGAAGTGCAGGGTATGTACCAAACACTTAAATAGTCATTATATACACAAATGACTGAGGTGTCAAAAGTTTCCGGAGTATAAATGAAAAAACTTAAAAAAAAAAAAAAATTACCCAAGGGAGTGAGGGGAGAAAAGAAAAGCAGATGAAGCGAGGCTAGGCTCACCTGACCGGACCTTGTTATCTCGTCTTCTAGATCTGCCGCCAGGCCGTTTAAAAATTTATACAGTTACAGAACAAATGAAAAAAGCAATCCCTAAAAATTAAAAACAAAAGGAAACAAATCTAACTGCCATCTAGTTGGTGGCATAACCACATCAAGAAAAAGTACATCAGGTGGTCTTAGAACACAGTATTTTGACTGAGCACCTGTAGCGAGATCTACCCCAAGGACAAAAAGCGTCATGAAAAGTATCTGACTGAAAGCCATACTCAGTAATCATATTGTTGCTGGTAGTGCTGTCTCTATCATGGGATAAAGTAAATGATTAGTTATGTTAGCACTGGAAAATTATTTAGGAACTGAGATTTTTGGTTTGAGGGGGGAAAAAGAGGTAAAAGATTGATGATTTTAAGTTAAAAGTCTTACAGTCATGTAATCAAATGGAATTATTGATAGGAGCTCTTGATGAATTTTGTCTTTAAAAACAAGTTGTAATAAACGTCCCTAGAGCCCACATTAAGGGCTCTAAACATATATTCCCATCAAAAGGATCCAGGGCTCCTTGGAGCAATGGCCAATTCTAGGTCTGAGCAGCAAATGATGGCCTGGAAGATATCACAGAGTCAGAAAGAAAGAAAACTATCAAAGCATGCTAAGATCATGTCAAAGGCATTCAGGAGCTAACATAGAGGCTCCCACTTGGTAAAAATGGGACAATTTGAGCATCACTGGGAATACAAATTGAAGTGGGTCAAGACCTTTCAAATCACAGACGTATTTAAGAGCATCAACATCTAATTGGTCACTTCTGGAGGATACTAGAGAACCAACCTATTTTTGGAAAATTAAGTACAGAGAAAGAATCAAGCACTGATCATGTTTTTCCTATATGAAGTGTAACCAAATAATTGATGAGGGGACGTTTATCTTCTTATAAATTATCAGCAATTGAATGAGAAGGAACAGAGGAAAATTCCTCACTTTTTGCGACCCTTAATGAACATATCTAGGCCATGATCATCAGTGACTGCTAACATTCCAGAAAGAGAGACAACCAGGCATTACAAAGTGTTCTTTCCCAAAACATTGAACCTGAATCTGATCAGGCCTCTAGATCTGCACTGTTAATGTAATATCCATTAGGCTCAGTGGCTGCTGAGCACTTGAAATGTGGTAAGTCCGAATTGAGGAGCCCTGTAAATGTAAAATACACACTGAATTTTGAAGGCTCAGTGAGGAAAAAAACATAAAATATTTACTAACTTTTAATAGTTATATTTGAAATATGAAATTAATTTTAATACATTTCATTTAATCTGTGTCTTTTAACTTTATTAAAAGTGGTTACTAGGGGGGTGCCTGGCTGGCTCAGTTGGGAGGAGCATGGGATGCTTGATCTTGGGGTCATGAGTTCGAGCCCCACGTTGGGTGTAGAGGTTACTTTAAAAACTTAAAAAGTTGTTACTAGAAACTTAAAATTACTTGCGTTATGTTTCTGTTGCCTAACACAACTTCTATCAATTTATGGGAATTACAGGGAACAAAGGAACCTACTAAGTGATACCTCAGCAATGTAATTAGTAATATTCAGAGTGTGGGAAACTAGGAGAAATGAGCCAATTCCTTCAACAAATTAAAAGGGGATTAAAAAAAAAGGCAGAGGGAACTTCAGAGATTTGAGAGACCTATCAATCAATTATGTACTAGACTTTATTTGGATCTGGATTCAAACAAATGTAAAAACAGGTTAATCAGGGAGATCTGAATCCTGACTGAAACTTTGAGGAATTATTGTTAATTTCTTAGACGGATCATGGTATTGCGATTGTACTCAAAATAGCCCTTATCTTTGGGTGAAAAACACTGATGAAAAAGACGTGATATTTACAGATTAAACAATGTGATGTCTGAAGGTTAGCTTCAACATTTGACAGGCTGCAGGTGAAGGTGACGAGTGTGGATGAAACAAGATGGGCTGTGTTTTGAAAATTATTGAATCTGGGTGATAAGCACATGGAAGTACATTCTTCTATTCCTCCTTCCACATAGGTTTGAAATATTTCGTAATAATTAAAAAACAAGTTTCCGGTATTCCTCCTTCCACATAGGTTTGAAATATTTCGTAATAATTAAAAAACAAGTTTCCGGGATGAATGGTGATACAAATGTTACTCTATGGCAGGATTCAGCAGCCTCTGTAAATGAGTTGACTCGTGATTAGGAAAGGTAAACTATGAGCACAAAAAGTCATGTACTGAGATTTCTTTCTTTCCCCCTCCCTAGACATGTCCCTTCCTCCTAACCCAGCAATATATATCTTCCTATAAATATATACAGTGAAGCCAGCCATAGCTGGACTGGGTTTAATCTTTTCATCTGCTGAAGGGACAATTTCTGGGATTGAAAAAAGAAGATCCTAAAGCATGAGATACAGGGTCCTTGCTTCAAGGAACCCTTATGCATTCATTAAACTCGCTCTTCACTGAATTGGAGAAAGGAGTGTGAGGAGGAAAGAGGAGAGACTGGGTCCTGTAAGTCACTGGCCATGGGGGTGGGGTGGGGGGGGTGCAGTTTGTTGAAGGCTGTAACTGTCAGCTTCCCCAAGAAGGCCTCCAGGACACGCCGTTAGGTCTAATCTGCTGTGGCACACTCCCATTCTTTCTCACCCTGGAATGTTTGTCCAGCTTCCTCATGAGGTGATGCTCACTACCACAAGATTGCCTTTTTGGGTTAAACTAAATTTTACTGGTTGGGGGTGGGTGGGATGGGGAAAGAGGTCGAATAGATGATAGTTTACCTCATGGAAGTATTTATAGAAACAAAATTCTCTTTCTCTTCCAAATCTGTACCAATCATGTTTGTTTTTAAAAGGCAGACACATTTTATTTTATTAATGTAATAGGGAAACTAGCAGAAACTAACAATCCATTATCATCTGTGATATTTACTGACTAAACCCTCAATTTGAGTTTTCTTCACTACTTAAATTCATGTCCATTCTTTTACTATTATGCTTGAGCCTTTGGGATTAGTCTTTTTGTTATTGTTCCCATTTTTAAAACATTCTTTTATTTTTCCAAATATATTTAGAGAAATTTTGTTGTGTTAGATGCAGATTTTGGTGGGGCTATTTTTAAATCTAAAAATAACACTGTGACTACTGATTTTAGAAAAATTATAGTTTCCCCATCAGGATTAAGGCATGTGTCTCCATTTAAATTTTAAATCTCCCATTGAAGTTAAGAATTATCTCTATACCAATCATGCATATTCCTTGTTTAGAGCATTCCCAAGTATTTTATAATTTCATTGCTAATGTGAATGTGATTTCATATTTTCCATTTGTATATATAGGATTGTTAGAGATTTTTGAATGGTTACATTTTATCTGTTAATTTTACTCAACTCATGATATACTAGTTTTAAACAACTTTGGCTTTGCTAAGTATATGGCTTTATCAATTAAAAATACTAGGGTTATATCTTTCCAAAAATTAAAGCTCACTCCATGTTAGTGTTTCTTATATTGAAGCATCTAAATAAGGTCAAATAATGGATGGTAATAGAGCTTATACTTATTTTGTTGGTATCTTTATAGGAATGTTTCCAAGTTTCAGTGGAACCATTTTTAAAGTGTATTCTGTACCTAAGTACATATCTTGATGTAACTGAACCTGTTCTCGACAGGGAGGGGGTATTAAGAGTAGTCACTTTATGGTTTCCTCTTCTCTAAATTAGGAGATCAGCACAGTCAGCGGTTTTCACCATCCCTTAGATCACAACAGAACAGGCAAGGAGGGGCTGAATGGATGGGCCTTTGGCCAAAGCAGGTCCACTTTGACCTATTTTAAATCTTTGAAAAAAACTTTTTATGCTTAAAAAAAAAAAAAGCCTTAAGTGAAAATCTAATCTATGTGCTTTTTAAAGTTTCTCCCACCTGAAAATTCTGTGATCAAGTCCTATTTAGGTCACTTTCATGATAACCTCTATGGTAGAGCCCTTAAAATTATTTCCAAAGTTTAAAACAAAATAATAAGAGGGAAAAAAGCAGGATTTAAAAAATTGCATATACAAATATTCAAAGTATGTTTAAAAAAAAAGGGAAGAGACTGCATGTCTTACAGCAAGTACTGTATCTGGGATATAAGAGCTCAGTAAATGCTTACTAAAAGACTAAAGGGAAATATACAAAAACATTAATTTCAAGCTGGGTGGGATGATATGGAAAGTATGCTATTTCATCTTTTTGGCTCTTTCCACTTTTTTACAGTGAGAATATATTACTTTTATAATCTGGGGAAAAAACACCATCCAAACTTGTTTCTAATGACTATGAAACTAGGTTCATTATCTTCCTTCCAGATATGGCAATGATTTCTTAGCTGTTCTCCTTAAATCTAATCTCTCCATTCTGAAAATCACATTGCATCTAAATAGGAAATGAATCTTTCTTAAATACCCATATGCTTCTAATATAAGTCTCTATTTTTCTTTTGCTCTAACACTTTTAGTACTGTATTATCCCTATATATTAGGTCTCAACTTCTTCAGTTGGTCTCACAAAACATATCCAACCTTGTTTCCCATAACTTTACAAGCCAGTTAGCTCAGGGTCCCATGGACACTAACAGGGCTACTCATTCTTCTGTAAGAATGCAGTGGAATATTTTGCATTCTGCCTATTCAAATACAGCTCCAGCTTAGTTTCCCTTCTCAGACTTGTTAGGATATTCTAGCTTTCGGTGATTTTTTTTTTTTATACGTACTTCTAAAGTGCTAAGGATTCCACATAACTTAATGTTCGATCAACTAAGGTCTCATGCTGTGTGTGACAACCTTATGTCATCAGTTAAGCCTGTTAGCTATTTGATGTAAAGAACTCTGAATTATTTTGTTAACTCCACTTTCTGCTCAGAACTAGCTTGGTAGTAAGGCCCCTCTGGGCTTTCACCAAATACTTGCTCACTAAAAGGAAGATAATTGAAAAATCCAAATAGTACCTGTACTTGTTGCAGGTAAGTAGCGATCAAGCCTTCAAGGCTTCTAATTTAGTTTTTCTGACTTGTCACAGCAAATTCCAGATTATCCTATATATTTCCATTTAAAAATAAATATTGCAAACACCATTGGGCAAGTAAGACATATGGCAACATAGAATGCTTTGGTAGCACTATGGCTGTGACTTAAATTACTGTGGATCAAACTGCCAGAAGCTGAGAAGATAACTGAATTTTCCTCTTCCTTTATCCTCTAGTGACTACATAAGATAACTATATCATGCCTATCGATGAAAATATTTAACAATAAAAAACTGAAAACACTGCTTTATAACTTAAATAATATAGCCTTCCTCCCAAATGTTTTAGTCATAGGATCTCTTGGAAGCTTGAATGGAAGCAAACTTTAGGGTTTTAATTATGGATGAAGCCATACAATTCTGGAAGCAAAGTATAGCAAGCAGCCAAAAATGTTACACATATGATTTTACTCCAAATGGGCACATTGGCCAAATGGTGGGGCCCTGCGCAATCACATACTTTGACCACCTCCTCCATCACTATCAAGAGAGATCTGGGAAATCTGTTATCTTAGATATGAATTCTGCGTGCTGACTGTGGCCCCAGTAGGGCAAAATCAAATTGTTCTTGTTTTTATGATGTTAAATAGTTTTGAGTTGGATCTAAAAACATTATAGGTACTTCATAGGGTTTTAGGATCTCCCTATAAATAAAAGATGATGGAAAATGGAAAGTTACATCTTGTATTTATTACTTCTTGCACAAAGGTGACCTTTAAATTTCTTCTGTGGTCATTGGTTCTTCTGGTTGATTAAAAACACTTAGGTTAAACAAACTTCCTTTTATTTTTCATTTAAAAAAGAATCCATATGCAACGTATCCAACTAACATGGGTTTGAAAACTAGATGGTACTTCATTAATTGTATTTATTACTCAAAACAAAGTATATATATCAAAATTATGAAATTCACTTAAAACCTTTTTTTGCAAAGGTGGGAAGAAAATCTTTATACTTAAGTCATGGAAACTTACCATTAAAAGACCAAGGTTCCTTTTAAAAGCAGTCTCAGCTGCTTGCATCTGAGATGCCTTTTCCTTGTTTTTGTCTATAAATTTATTCTCCATTTGTTGAAGTAACATTACTCTTTGTGATACTCTAGAAAAAAATGAAGATTATATAAAGTTTTTCTTAAAAGGGTACATTTTTTGCTTCACTAACAAAAAAATTCCTTAATTGTACCTCACTTCAAGTTCAACCTATATTGAAAACCAATTATTATGTCCATTAATAAGACAGTGGAAAACTTAGATAGTTCAATAAGTCTTAAATCTGGGTAAAATTATTCTTATTTTCATTAACATATCTATCGTAAGTACATGCTTCTGTTTTTTTAGCCTCTATGGTCTTTGCAATTATTTTAGAGTGTTAAAAACATGTTTTAATTTTTGGTGAAAATGCAAACTGTAATACATATCCCTTTGTACACATACTTATATATACCTCCCCACACACATACATTGATATAACTTGCTATACGAAACCTTCTGCTTAACACTTCAATACCCCTGAATCTCATGTTACACATTTAGAATTGCGCTAAACTTCCATATGTTTGAAGAAGCAATAAAAATATTTTTTTCCTCTTTTTCCAAGAGAAAGATGATGGTTCCATATATGAGTGAGAGGCTGTGTGTATGTATGCATACTCACAACAAGGTGAAACAGTAATTGAAGAAAGATGTAAAAAGTTGTAATTAAATTATCAAACTACTTTGTTATATATAATATACTTTAAAAATTTCTCATTGGTCAAATGCTCATTTTACAAGTTTTTTTGGTCCCCTTAAATGATGGATTAAAAAAATGTCAGACGATAAAAAAACACATGTGGTATATATAACAGTCTAACCACTTTCCAGATAGTTATGGAGATTCTTAAGAAATGCTATGTTTCAGAGGGCTGTTCTTGAGGGTAGCATTAAAATTGAGTAATTTCAACATTTTTATAAGGGCAAGATCTTAGAAAGCCAAGGAAGAGGGCCTGGTAATTAAAGGAAAACATGAGAGCCCACAGAAAGAGGTAGAGAAGGTTAATATCAAGTATAAGTGCAGGACTGGTTATGTAATTTGCAAGGCCTAATGCAAAGTGAAAATGTGGGGCTCCTTTAAAAAAAAAAACTATTAGAAATTTCAGGACAGCAACATTAGAGCATTAAACCAAGTACAGGGACTGTGAGTACATAGGCCTCATACTCGTGGAGCCTGCCCTGGGTAAGAGGTGTACAGAAGTCCATTAAATATCAGTGAGAAACCTAGAAAGGTGAGAAGGGTGAATTTATCTAGATAATAGTAAGAATTGTAAGAAGAGAACATGACTATACCTTTTAATCTTTGTTATTAAGAGACAGTGACATTCCCTAACACCAAAATCTCTCAAGTGTCAGAAAATTTAAATGATGCACTTTCAGACTTAAGTCTTCTGTGCACACAATATTTCACTAACAAAGCCGGTACAATTTATTCATTTAGATAAGCCTTAAAAAAAAAAAAAAACTTACATTTCTTCATGTCTTTTAGACAGGCGAATTTCTTGAGCAAACAAGGACGTCATCTTTAGTCAAAGCTGCCTTATAAGCTTTCTGCTAAATAATAAAAACATTTAAAGTTACTTTAATGTTCTCAGCTTTACAGCAGTTGATTGTTTTATTATCTCAACCCATTGGTTCTCTCAGAAGAGAAAAATAAAAATTGAGATATAATGATGTATAAAATGAAAGAATGCATTTAAAACCATTTTTATTTATGATGCAGTTTTCCATATGCCAGACGCAGCCAAAAACACCACGAATCAGGTAAACTCAACATATTTCACATTTCCTCCTCTTAACTTCCTCACACTTTAACCTTAATTTGAATTGAAAACAAACAAGCAGCTGGTACTAAGACTAGTAAACATTTTATTGAATCAACAGAAAGAAAAAAATCCACTCTGTAAAATTCAACACAGGAATACCATCCCTTATGCATGTGCACACACACATAGAAAGGCAAACAAGTATAAGAACCAACTGGAAACTCATGGTCTTTCCTTTATTGGAAGACTGCCCAGTTCTACCATCTCTTTTCCAAATAAGAAAGTATTTTTCATGTATAACTGGCGGGGAAAAGCCCAGCTGGTCTCTTCACCTTACTCTGGGTGCTCAGGACTTCCATTTGGGGAGTTTAGGGAATCCCATTTTAACGGCACATGAGCAAGCTCACCTTGACTGAAGAGCTTGGGCCAATACAGATAAAGATCAAGTGACGTGCTTTGAAGGCTCAGAGCCTGAAGGCAAATCATCTGGTTGCCTGCAAAAGCTGAAGGTGACTGTCCTAAGGGAGAAAAAACAGGAATGAAATTCTTTTCCTGGAGCGAAGCACTGGCTTTCCTAAATTTTATGATTTAAATACTGTCGCTAATCTCTGAGCGTCCAGCGCTGAGAGACTGAGCTCTTCCTTCATTGCACATACATGGAGGTGTAGGGCACTGAGCCCAGCCAAGGGCAAGGAAACACTGTCCTGCCCTCAAGGGGTTTCCTTCTAAAGGAACCAATGTCTTGCGTTCAGCACCGAGGACAGCAATCGCTCGCCAGCTTGCCTGCAAGGATCTAGTTACAGATACTTATCCTCTAAGATCACTACGGACCAATCGTCACAGCCTTCCTCCCCCTTTCGAATGCAGCGTCAAGGATATCTCGGAAAGTTAGTCCACGGTAACTTCTTTTTCCGTAACGCCCCCCATCAGCACTCCAGACAAACCCCAAGATAAATTCTGCCTTTCGAACCAAAGATCGCACGGTTTCAGAGTCCTCAACCCTGCAACCACTCCAACTCCCTGCTTATATCCAGAGGACTCACGACCTTTCCTCATCACCCCAGCTCTTCCCCCTTTAACAACATTCTCCTCACCGGCCCTGCGAGCACCTGCGCTGCTCTCGGACAGTCAGGGCGCCCACCGGCCGGCCGTAACGCGGTGGGACTTCACTCACCCAGTCGCACTCGGACCTTATCCGTAAAGGCGCCTGCTACGCTGGGTCCCAGCACAGGCCTGGGCGTGGTCACGCCACCATCTTTGCGCACGCGGGACGAGGTGACGCAATCACGTCGCTCTAAAAGGCGGGCCTCTGGCGCGAAAGGTGACGGTGCTACGCTCAGCGGAGAAATTCCCCAAGCGGTCGTTCCGAGCCCTACGAAAATGACTGGTGGTAGCTCAGTTTCGAGGCCTTTTAAACTGAGACCGGAATATGCTTTAGAGAGGGAAGCTAGAATGTCACAGAATATGGAAATGGGGAAAAATCCTTCAAAGTACTCCAGAGTGTTTGGTCTGCACAGTCAGTAAAAGCTCCTTGCTTCAGAGAGCTTCACCCCGTTTGTCAAGTGCAGAGCAGAGGAGCAGAGCTCCTGCCTGCACCCCCATAGGGACAGTAATATTGATCGTGGACGTTTTGAGGGGTTTGCGTGCGTCGCTGTGTTTAGTTGAATTACCTCAGCCTTTCCCCTACAACACCTGGTGACGTAGGTGCTATCATCCTCTTTGTTTTTTTTAAAGATCCTTTTATTTTTTTTATTTTTTTATTGTGTTAATCATCCTACATTAGCTTTTTCCTTTAAATTTTTTATTGTTATGTTAATCACCATACATTACATCATTAGTTTTTGATGTAGTGTTCCACGATTCATTGTTTGTGTATAACACCCAGTGCTCCATGCAGAACGTGCCCTCTTTAATACCCATCACCAGGCCAACCCATCCACCCACCCACCCCCTCTAGAACCCTCAGTTTGTTTTTCAGAGTCCATCGTTTCTAATGGTTTGTCTCCCCCTCCGACTTACTTCCCTTCATTCTTCCCCTCCTGCTATCTTCTTTTTCTTTTGTCTTAACATATGTTGCATTATTTGTTTCAGAAGTACAGATCTGTGATTCAAAAGTCTTGCACAATTCACAGCACTCACCATAGCACATACCCTCCCCAATGTCTATCACCCAGCCACCCCATCCCTCCCACCCCCACCACTCCAGCAACCCTGTTTGTTTCGTGAGATTAAGAATTCCTCATATCATTGAGATTGTATGATACATGTCTTTCTCTGATTGACTTATTTAGCTTAGCATAATACCCTCCAGTTCCATCTATGTCATTGCAAATGGCAAGATTTCATTCCTTTTGATGGCTGCATAATAATCCATTGTGTATATATACCACATCTTCTTTATCCATTCATCTGTTGATGGACATCCTGGCTCTTTCCATAGTTTGGCTGTTGACTATCATCCTCTTTTGACAGAGGAGCAAACCAGCATGGTCGTTTATTTAGGTCGGAGCTTGAAGTCAGCAGAGCCTTGAGGAAATTTCTCACAGGCCTCAGGTCACACACTTGGGAATAATCCATTAGTGCTGTAAATTGTGTTCTTAAACCTTTTTTTCCCTTTGAAATAACTTGGTGAGACACAAAGTACTATTCTTAATTTCAGATGTAGAAACTGAGATTCAAGAGAGGTTAAGTTTTCTTCCTACAGGTTACTGAGTTGATAAGGGGCCAAGTGCTAGGACTCCAGTCCAGGTGTCTTTTATTTCTTAAATCCCAGAATATCTACATGAAACTCCTCTCCTGCTTCGGGACTACGGCACTTCATGTGTCTTTTGCTTGGAAAAGCTGTTCCCCAGAAAGCCATATAGACTGAGTGCCTCATCTTTCAATGCTACTTTTTCGAAGAAGCGTTCCCTGGACCTTCAGTATAAGATAGCAACCTCCATTTCTTTTCTCTCTGCCCTCCTTCTCTTGCTTGGTTTTTCTCCAGAACACACTGTTGAACACGTTTTACAATCACTTGTTCATATGTTTATCAGTGCACACCTACTAGAATTCGAACATCCTAAGAAGTATTTTTGATTATTTGCTGCTGTATCCTCAGCAACTAAAATGGCCTTGAAATAATCTCAGATGGAAATTCCATAATAATTTGAGAGGTCTGTCTTCAGTTGATAGGACCTTTGATTTAGCTCTTCCACAGCCTTAGTAAAGAAGAAAAACAGAACTTTGAATGTGTTGCATGAAATAGAAAACAAAGAAGCTGCACATTAAAGCATGTGTATGTTGTTTAAAACAAAACTTTGTTCCTCTCCCTGCTTTTGTAAGTTTGCATAGTGACACAATTGGGACAAACCCAGTCCTTTTAACTTTGAATCTAGCTTCTTTAGGTCATTGTCTGCCCTAGGAGTGAATCAAGGAATACCTTGGAATTTTCTTGCAACTTTTAGGAGAATGGTAATCAGGAATACCTCACAGACACTTAGAAGTTGCCTAGATAGACTGTGATAATACATCTTACAGCATCCCAAAAAAGTACTTTCCACTTAAAGATCTGCTGTCATAGCTCCCATCTTCATGACAGCCCCCAGTTGATCTTTTCTGTGAGACAAATGACTGGAGAAGAAGTGTCTCTGGCAATTGCAGTCTGTCAGTATAGGGCTTCTCTATTTATTAGGTAAGTTTGTGTACTTCCTGTAGTGAGATATTCGCAGCCTACCATGCAGATTATTAGAACCTACTAAGTAAGGCCTAGCTCATAATGGGACATTCTGTAAATGTGCAGTGAAGTTAATATTTCCTAACCCTGCTATAGTTCTCTCCACCAGCATGCTAAAATTGTCCCCTTAGCCTCATTATTTAGAAATTCTTGTGCTCTTTAGTAATAAATTCTTTAAAGATGTGTTTATTAATATTTCTAAGATGTAGTTCCCGCCCTCAGGAGCCTAGAAGGTTCTTAAGGTATACACAAAAAGCTAGAGGATTTTGGCTGACAACATAAAAATGACATACTCATCGAGTGCTCACTCTGTGCTAGGCACTGCATATGATTTACCTCATCTAATCCTCATAACAACCCTGGGAGCAGAACAGGGTTGGTTGCTAGCTTACTTACTATCCCCATTTTTATAGCTGAGAAAACTGAGACTTAAGAGACATGACTTATGATCACACTGTAAGTAAATGAGCCTTGGCCTGTTTGATGTTAGTATTGTATGTAATTATATAGAGAATATTGAGAACGTGTAACTAAAATGTGTCCTGCAGATTATGAGGGTGCTAGAGAAGAAAGGGGGGAGCACCAAGAGCTGGAATGGTATAGATGACATTTTGGAAGGCTGAGGTGAATTTTGAAAACTGGGTGGAATTTGGAGGTCAGCTTTTGTAATTGGGTATATCAGGTGGCAAGACGGGCCATGAAGTCTTTTTTTTTTAAGATTTTATTTATTTATTTGACAGAGAGAGAGTTAGCGAGAGCAGGAACACAAGCAGGGGGAGTGGGAGAGGGAGAAGCAGGCTTCCCGCGGAGCAGGGAGCCCAATGTGGGGCTCCATCCCAGGACCCTGGGATCATGACCTGAGCCGAAGGCAGACGCTTAATGGCTCAGCCACCCAGGCGCCCTGGGCCATGAAGTCTTCTAAGTGAAGGAGGCATGTGTATGTACAGAAGTTTGTGCATGAAGATACATCTAGGGTGAGGGCCAGTGGAGAGGAAGCATTGAGAAGAATGTTTTCGCCTCATTTCCCACAATCTTGAAGATTTCATTTCTGGTGTCAGAGACTTAGAAAACAGAAGTTTGGCAGTAACAAAGAGAAGGAGATATTGGAGAAGATGAGACTGGTAAGTAAAGAATAGAAAGGCTTGAGGATGCAAAAGGAAAGACAAGCTTTAAAGAGTAAGAAACAAAAGAATCCCAGGATCCTTGACAGTATCAAAGACTTCAAATTACTAACAGTAAATTCTGTTATGGTTTATACAGAGGCCTTCTTTTTAGACTTCCTTTGGATGTACTCTGTGTAGACAAATAATAAGAAAATGAAGAACTCATGCCTGAAATGGAGTTAGTTGTTTTTTTTCCCCTTGTTTCAGGAAATCCCAGATGAAATTTGGCAAAGTGGGTCCAATTGCTTGTGTTTCTGCTTTTCTTCACTTTGAAATACAGTCTTTAGACTTTTATCTTTTTCTATAGTTATAGATTGTCCATTTCACTATGGAAAAATATTCTTATAATGTCTCTGAAATGCTTTAAATTGGCCCTGGATGGGTTTTGACCAAAGAGAATTTACAGCCAGATACTTCTTTAGGATCTTTTGTCAATGAATCAGTTATCAATCTAGGTCCCTTCAGATAAAACTCTGCAACAGAGAAATCATTATCACAGCTGGTGCCTGCATTGTAGACATTCTTAGCTGAGAGAACAAGACTGTGCTGATAAAACTATGCTCATTCCTAGAGATTTCCAGTAAGAATTTGCATAAGCTTTTTCCTTCTTGGGAGAGAAAATTTTTAAAAACCTCACTAGTTTTAAAATTCACTTGAGAACGCATTAGAATTTTAAAAATTGAAAGCACACATGATAATTCTTAGCAAATCATTTCTGTTGTATACATAGTAAATATGTATGTTTCCTCCTTCCCAAATTTCAGTGATTTAAAGCTCACAGAAATCCTTTTGTCTTAAACTGATACCCTTCCAGCTGTGTATAATTTAAAAGGCTTTTTTTTTTTTTTTTTTAATCCTGGTTCCTTGATTTCCCAGCAGCTTTCAGTTTACTCACTAGTCTCTCTGTAACTCTTTAGCTCAGGCTTTTCTTGAAGTAGGAATTTTCTCTTTCATAGCCCTCCTGCCTGTTTATTTTCTCCATGCTATCTCCTCTTTTTGCTCTTAGGACCCTATAACATTCTCAGTCCACTATTGAGTAAGCAATTAAGAACCTTCTTAATGCATACTTGACTACTTGGAGCATTGTATTCTGCAGTTCCCATCTTTTTGTGATACTCTGCGACTGTGTTTACTAAAAAAAATTTGAGCCTTTTTGTGCCGGCCTGTTTTCTTCATCATTTTTGTTTGCTGTATGCATCCACTTGAAAATTTATAATTTCCTTTGAAAGAACAAGGGTTGCAGTTTTACCACATTGCAACTTCTTTGCTTCAGGATCTAATGATATGTAAAGATACTGTCAGAAAAATCTGTTGTGGATTAATGCATTTGGGACAGATAATTTTTTAAAAATTGCCCATATCCTTCATTTATATGAAAACAGC